AAATAGCTCTATCTTGTCCATTATTCCACCCCCCAGTTAACTAACGAGGCCGGGGGAAACAGCTCTCTCTAGTCCGTTATCCCGTCCTCAGTTAGCTAACTATTCTAGAGCACCTCCAGAGTTCCTAAGGCAACCTCTCTCGTTCAACACCTTGTAACCTAGGTATTTGACTACCTAGGTGCTAAGACTACAAGGCGCCGTAACTGGATCAGTTACCCGAAAATCTAGAGAGAACTCTAGAATACAGTATCACTGCCACAAACGTATAAGAGAAAACGAAAGGAAAGAAATGAATAGTGAAGTAATTAGTGAGGGTTTGGGGTGAGAGGTAGGGAGGTGGGAGGAGCGAGGAGGGTCATTAGTTGAAAGTGAAAGTTCAGAGAGGGGTGGAGGGAGAGGAGTAGATAGGTAGAAGTAGAAGAGTAGATAGTAGAAGTAGAAGAGTAGATAGTAGAAGACGAAATGCTGCCACCATCCATTCATGATCATTACATACAAGACAAGGAATGGAACTTGTCTGTATCAAAATATTCTCAAAAGATGTTATCATGAGTTCATTATTAGTATGTTCCCTCTGTACCATGTATCAACGCCAAACATGTACTCGTTAATATCATGAAACCAGTAACCACAGAGGCTTTCTCACCTCAACTCAAAATCTCTAGGGAACAAAGTTAAACACAATTTAAATAATAAGTTCATAATTATATTTCCCATGAAGTATCATAATTTAGCAATTCAATTAAAATGTTCCAGTTTAATATTTAAAGTGAGTCATCCTCCAAGAATCTGAGAACCCTACAACTTGACTGCCCCTGATCATCACACAACACTTGTAAAACACGACCAAGTCACCTAAATGTTCAACTCACCGAGGACTGAGTCTAAGTTGAATAGAGAGGGGGGGGGGGGTCTGTAGCTTGACAGAGACTGTCTCGCCCCCTGCCGGCCGACAGCCTCCCTGTTAGGGACGTCTTCTCTGTTCTCGTCTGCTGCTCTGTCTGTTAATGCTTTTTGCTGGATAGCTCTCCGAGTTTATATTGGGGAACCTAGTAGCTAACTCCGCCCACAAGTAGATAGCCTCCGGTACTACCAAGCCACTCCTTAAACGTCGGCTTGTTTGAAGGCTACCAGACTACAATTAAGAGCTTAGCGGAAGCAAGGTGAAATTCTCATGATCTGACCTCAGGTCACTTGGGGTCATTAACGGTTAGAGGTGTGAGATCTCAGGCAGACAACTGGCGCCTCTCAGATCCTTGTCTGTGACTCGTGTACTCTATATATATTTTAAATAAACTAACTCAAACACTTTTACAGTGTTACACTACCAGAAATATGGAAGACTGCTAATGTAGTACCAATATACAAAAAGGGTGACAGACAAGAGGCACTGAACTACAGGCCAGTGTCCTTAACTTGTATACCATGCAAGGTGATGGAGAAGATTGTGAGAAAAAACCTAGTAACACATCTGGAGAGAAGAGACTTCGTGACAACCCATCAACATGGGTTCAGGGAGGGTAAATCTTGCCTTACAGGATTGATAGAATTCTACGGTCAGGTGACAAAGATTAAACAAGAAAGAGAAGGGTGGGCGGACTGCATTTTTTTGGACTGTCGGAAAGCCTTTGACACAGTACCCCATAAAAGGTTGATGCATAAGCTAGAGAAACAGGCAGGAGTAACTGGTAGGGCGCTCCAGTGGATAAGGGAGTACCTAAACAATAGGAAGCAGAGAGTTACAGTGAGGGGTGAGACCTCAGATTGGCGTGAAGTCACCAGTGGAGTCCCACAGGGCTCTGTACTTAGACCTATCCTGTTTCTGATATACATAAATGATCTCCCAGAGGGTATAGACTCATTCCTCTCAATGTTTGCTGACGACGCCAAAATTATGAGAAGGATTAAGACAGAGGAGGACAGCTTGAGGCTTCAAGAAGACCTGGACAAGCTGCAGGAATGGTCGAACAAATGGCTGTTAGAGTTTAATCCAAGCAAATGTAATGTAATGAAGATAGGGGTAGGAAGCAGGAGACCAGATACAAGGCATCACTTGGGAGATGAAATACTTCAAGAGTCCGAGAGAGAGAAAGACCTGGGGGTTGATATCACGCCAGACCTGTCCCCTGATGCTCACATCAAGAGGATAACAGCAACAGCATATGCCAGGTTGGCTAACATAAGAACGGCCTTTAGAAACTTGTGTAAGGAATCTTTCAGAACATTATATACCACATATGTCAGACCAATCCTGGAGTATGCGGCACCAGCATGGAGTCCATATCTAGTCAAGCATAAGACTAAAATGGAAAAGGTTCAAAGGTTTGCCACCAGACTAGTACCCGAGCTGAGAGGTATGAGTTACGAGGAGAGACTACGGGAATTAAACCTCACTTCGTTGGAAGACAGAAGAGTTAGGGGGGACATGATCACCACATTCAAGATCCTCAAGGGAATTGACAGGGTTGATAAAGACAGGCTGTTTAACACAAGGGGCACACGCACTAGGGGACACAGGTGGAAACTGAGTGCCCAAATGAGCCACAGAGATATTAGAAAGAACTTTTTTAGTGTCAGAGTGGTTGACAAATGGAATGCATTAGGAAGTGATGTGGTGGAGGCTGACTCCATACACAGTTTCAAGTGTAGATATGATAGAGCCCAATAGGCTCAGGAACCTGTACACCTGTTGATTGACAGTTGAGAGGCGGGACCAAAGAGCCAGAGCTCAACCCCCGCAAGCACAACTAGGTGAGTATACACACACACACACACACACACACACCAGAAAACAGTGCAAAACCTGGAAATGTAGGCTGGAGTGAAAGGGAAGGTAATCTATTGGATAAGGGAGTACCTAAGTAACAGAAGACAGCGAGTCACTGTTAGGGGTGAGGTCTCAGATTGGCGAGATGTCACCAGTGGAGTCCCACAAGGTTCAGTCCTTTAACCTATACTGTTTCTGATATATGTAAATGATCTCCCAGAGAGTATAGATTCCTTCGTCTCATTGTTTGCTGATGATGCAAAAATTATGAGGAGGATTAAAACAGAGAAAGACAGTAGGAGGTTACAAGATGACCTAGACAGACTGAATGAACAGTCCAACAAATGATTACAAAAATTCAACCCGAGCAAATGTAAAGTAATGAAACTAAGCGATGGAAACAGGAGGCCAGACACAGGATACAGAATAGGAGATGAAGTACTTCATGAAACCGACAGAGAGAAAGATCTGGGAGTTGATATCACACCAAACCTGTCTCCTGAAGCCCACATAAAAAGAATTACATCTGCGGTATACGCGAGGCTGGCTAACATCAGAACAGCCTTCAGGAACCTGTGTAAGGAATCATTCAGAATCTTGTATACCGCATATGTAAGCCCAATCCTGGAGTATGCGGCCCCAGCATGGAGCCCGTACCTTGTCAAGCACAAGGCGATGCTGGAAAAAGTTCAGAGGTATGCCACTAGGCTAGTCCCAAAACTAAGAGGCATGAGTTACGAGGAAAGGCTGCGTGAAATGCACCTCACGACACTGGAAGACAGAAGAGTAAGGGGAGACATGATCACTACCTACAAAATTTTCAGAGGAACTGACAGGGTACATAAGGATAAACTGTTTAACACGGGTGGTACGCGAACAAGGGGACACAGGTGGAGGTTGAGTACTCAAACGAGCCACAGGAACGTTAGAAAGATCTTTTTCAGTGTCTGAGTAATTAACAGGTGAACTGCATTAGGCAGTGATGTGGTGAAGGCTGACTCCATACACAGTTTCATATGTAGATATGATAGAACCCATGAGACTCAGGAATCTGTACACCAGTTGATTGGTCCCGCCTCTCAACCGTCAAAGAGCCAGAGCTCAACCCCCCACAAGCATAACTAGGTTAGTACAACTAGGTGAGTACAGATATACAGAGAGAGACATGGAAGTAGGGAGACAAGTAGACAGATAGATAGCCAGACAGACAGACAGACAGACAGACAGACAGACAGACAGACAGACAGACAGACACAGATAAACAGTGAAAGACATTCAGAGAGACAGACAGACAGTCAGAGACTACCAAATGAAATTAACTCTCCTAATATGGGCCTGAAAGCTTCAATGGTGCGCCCTAATTCTTTATTATTTCATTGCTCTTATTTTTGTAAGTGAAAAACAAACTTAGGATCGTTTTATTCAGTGTTTTTAACAGCTTGATTTCATTAACATAATAATAATTTTTTTCTTTGAATACATATTTTTAAAAACTTTAAAATTAGTTAAAGAAGTAAAACTAACCAAAAACTTACGAAACTGACCAACAAAGTCATGAAACTGACAAAGAAAGTCATGAAACTGACAAAGAAAGTCATGAAACTGACAAAGAAAGTTATAACATTTACCAAGAATGTCATGAAACTGACCAAGAAATTAATAAAACTGACCAAGACCAAGAAAGTAATGAAACTGACCAAGAAATTCATGAAACTGACTAAGAAGGTCATGAAACTGACCAAGAAAGTAATGAAACTTACCAAAAAAGTCTTGAAACTGACAACAAAACTAATGAAATTGATAAAAAAAAGTCTAGCAACTGGTAACTAAAATCATGAATCTGGTAAATAAAAATTTATGAATATGGCAAGAAAAGTCATGAATTTGACAAAGAACATTTTTAATATTTCTTTGAAAGTTGTGGAATTTGTATAATCATTTTGTGAAACTGGATAAGAAAGACATACAACTGGCCAGAAAAGTTGTAGAACTGTCTAAAATCGTCACAGCACTGATTAAAAAGTTTGTGAATATGCCCAAGAAAATTTAAAAACTGACAAAAGAAAATGTTAAAACTGACCAAATAAAACTTTTAAACTCACCACAAAAAGTTATAAAATAATCCAGAAATTTTTTAAAATTTTTGAAAAGTTGTAAAGCTGGCCATGGAAAGTTTTGAGATTATCCAAACAAGAAAGATGCAAAATAGTCCTGATTTTTTTGTTTACACTTTCTAAAGAAGGTCAAAAGACATTTTCAATTCTGTCCAAAGAAAATTGTGAAATCATCTAAAGAAAGATGTAAAACTATTATATGCAAGTTGCAAATCTCCCCAGAGAAAGTTGCGAAGCTGTTCAAAGAAAGTTGCAAAACTGTCTAAAGACAATTGTGAAACTGTGAATAGAAAGTTGCAAGCTAGCAAATGAATGACATAAATCTCTCCAGGGAAGGTTGTGAAACTGTCAAAAGAAAGTTGCAAAATCTGTCAAGAGAAAACTGGAAAATTGACTGAAAACAATTACCAAACCAGAACAGAACAGAAAGTCAAATTGTAAACTCACCAATGAGATCGAAGGAGGTCTCGTCCTCGCCAAGGGAGTTGCTGACGAAACACCTGTAATGTCCGAAGTCCCGGCTCCTCTGCACCTGTACGGTGAGTACTGACTGCCACAGACCCGCCTCCTGCAGGAGGAACACGCCAGGAATGTCAGAGAGCCGCCCGCCAGGCTAGGCTACCGTGATGATTGTGACGGTGAAGGGGTTGACAACGATGGTAATCAATGATAGTGATAAATATGATCATAATGGGATTATAACAGTGATGATGACCTGGATGTTTAGGTGGATGATGAGAACAATGACAATAGCGAGAAATGGTGAGAATTTTGATGGCAAGTAATAGGCTATTTTTGGAAATGGTTGTCACTTTAGACGCGATGGTAATATATCCTCTGGCGATGGTGGTGCTGATGAAGATTAATAAGGTGAGGTAAAATAATTGTGAGGAGAAAGCGAGGTAGTCCAGGCAATTTAGAGCAAATATCACTTTAACATGGGGAAAAACCCTGCTTCACAACCTTTCTAAGCTGCTTCCAGTTTAAACAAACTGAACTTGAAACAAGAACTTAAATAATTGTTATTTTTTTTATTTTAAAATTCTGTAAACAATTATATATATCGTAATTAAGTAATAAATGACCGTGTTATATATTGTTAAAAACATAATTTTACTTAAACAATTTTAGCTGTCAAGAAAAATGATCGCATCTCCCAGCAAGGGGATATTTTTATTTTTATTTTGCAGGAAACAACCTGTCAGTCCGTCACATTTTGAAACTATTTTTGGGGGTGTTCTCGTGGTCTGATTTTCTCGAAGGAGTGAAGGAACCGTGCCTAGCCATTTGGACCATCGGGAATCGAGCGCCGGCCTGCAAGAAGCGAAGCCGCCAATGTACCGACCAGTCCAAATGGTTGGATAGATATGATGAAGCAGGACGTGGGGTGAAAAGAGATGGATTAATTATCAATAAAATCATTATTTCTTTTAGAAAGGATCTAAGAGATTCTTGATGAGGCACTATATAATAGCAATAACGTGATGTATGTAGGAGAAAATCTTGAGGCAATGTATTGGGATTGAACTCACGTTGCTGGACGTCCAAGACACACTCCCCACTGCACCACCACAAACTTAAAAAGCACTGCAGCCAGGAAAGTTTACCTAATACAGAGGAATATGGTCACAGAGGAACTGAGAATATATCTGTTCATTTCTGAGGAACTGTTCATTTCTGTATACTCCGAGGGTATACCTTGGTTCCGAACTATGCGTATGATCTGCGGTTGATTGATTGTTGCCTCCGAAGACAGCTAGTTTATTGTGCACCCGACACCCATTTTGTGAGCGGTAGCGCAAAAAGCATTACAGAGGGCACAAAAGGTCTTTATCAGACTTCATCTTAGATTATTACATAAACAATTTCATCTATCCTTCACACCTTATAGTTACAATGTCAGCTAGTTACAGAGAAAGTGCTATTTCAAGAGCTATACATGTACAGTAAGTCATCATACATTAATGATAGGTCTTATCGCTAATACATAATAGTTTGACCAGTGGAGATAGTCATAGGGTAGCTTCTGTTTATTATTAGTCTTCACAATACACTACTTGTTTCTTCATCTCATATGTCGTTTATCTACTGGAAGTGAAATATGGATACAGTGCAAGGATTTCAGGTAATTTATCCATGGTAATAAGATAGGTTGCCATATCATACAAAGTGAGCTTAGATTTATCTCTAAAAGGCTCAATTTTACTACAATCCAAGATATAGTGTTCGAGTGTGTGTCCCTGTCTTTGTCTACACACTTTACACTTTACTTCATCTAGATCCCTATACAAGCCGAACTGCCAGAGATACTTGTAGCCAAGTCTTATACGAGCTGTGACAACATCTGTTAGTCTGCTGACTTTGTTACTTGCCCCATACACATGTTTTACTTCACAGATTTCATTGTGATGAACAATGGACCTGCTAGTTCCAGTTTGCACAGTTCTACTTTCTTCAAATCCATCCAGGAGTTCTTGTCTAATGGCACTTTTAAGGGACCTATTTGATAACTCAAGATGCCGTTCAATACTGTCTTTATTTACTGCAGCCTTAGCAAGGGCGATCATCATCAATAAAATATATCTTCGCATCCTATTATTCAGTTTACACTTCAAACGCATCCAATAGTTTAAAATTAGATATAATTCAGAGTAGGGAACTACTGGTGCATTTTTGGGGACCCATAGCCTCGGAGAAGAGAATAAAGGTATTCAGAGAGGACCTTGTAGATCCTCCCTGAACACTAGTGATATTATCATAACATTACTTTGAAAGCTAAAACTATTGTTTTTATTGGTAAATCGATCAGTATAAATAATCCTTCTTCATGTCTTGCAAGCATTACATTAATTCATCAAGACAATTGCTTACAAAGGTTCTTGATGTCCTGAATGGTCTCTCCCATTGATGCCAGGGTTATTGTTTTCCTTCATCAATAGCTTATCCATATATACGATCAGAATTACAATGCAAAAAATAATTGAATGGAAAAGATTTATGAGGAAAAACATTCATAAAACAAAAGAGATTAGCAGAAACAGAAGATCAATAATGAAGGAGAAGCTGCAAGGTTGCACGCACTGCTCTCTTATTCCTCTTTATTTTCCTCTTCCTCTTTTTCATTATCTTCTTCTTCTCCTTCCCCTTATATTCTTTCCTCACGTTGTTGTCTCTTTCCTTCCATTCCTCCAGTTTTGTCTTTGTTCTCTTCTGATTCTCCCTTTTCCTCTAATATTCATTCTCATCTCATTTTCCTGTTCATCTCCTCCTCATCTCTTCTCATTCGCCAATCTTTCTCACTTTTCAACTCTGCTCCTTCCCACTCCACTCTTGTTCTCATCATCTATATCCAGCTCTTCTCTTTTGTCCCTAATTATCAATCTCGCTTCTTTCCTCTCTCCTGACCTCATACCATAGACATTCTAATTCTCCTTCCTCATTATCCACTCACTGTCGCTAATCCCTCATCTAATCCCTCATCTAATCCCTCGTCTAATCTTACCTCATCGCTGCTGCTGGTCTCTATTGTGACTGTTGACCCGTGACCTTTGACCTGGCGTGGGCCGCGATACCACCGCACTTCCGTCAGCGGGCGGGCGTGGAATCTGCAGGTGAGGGCGGCCACGCCCTCCATGGTCACGCCCACACGCCCACTCCCGCCCTCGTTAACGATCTTAGGAGAAACTGGAGGAAGGAAAAATGAGTGGTTTAGTGTGTCGCCGAAGACGACTTCAAGACAAACCACGGTGAAACCCGGGAAAATAATATTGTATTTGCGTTCCGTGGAGAGCCCCGGCCTCTTGAGCTGTCCCTACGGACGAAATAACGTAGTGCTAAAACGCGTGAAGCCTAGCGCTTCTAACCTAGCCTAACCTAAGCATAGAAAATGTGGATGTTGATGAAGATTAAGCCACCCAAAAGGTGGCACGGGCACGAATGGCCCGTAAGTGGTGGCCCTTTTGAGCCATTACCAGTATCAATAGATGATACTGGAGACCTGTGGAGGTGCGGCTGCACCCTGCGTGATGGGAGATGTCTCCCGTGTGTGGATGTTTGTGAGCTGGTACTTATATTCCCCCGTATTTTGCCCCGTTGGGTGTTATGACGTACAAATTACTGAGAGTTATTTGGGAGGACAAGTTGCCGTGGGAAGCCTGGACAGGTACTCAAATAATGATTGTATTCATATTAGTATTAAATTTTGTTTCCAAACACAATTTGTAGTGCTTTATCTGTGTGAACAATGCACTTGTAATCTACAAAAAGTCTCCTCATAATAGGATACAATATGCAGCTTCCACTTTTCCACTCAAAAATACAATAAGCTGAATTTATGTTGCAGCTTCTCTTGTATATAAATATAAATATGCAGTGAATACAAAAGTCTGTTATTTATACTGATGTTGTAAATTAGAATTGTATAATGGAATTTGCGTTCAGAACTGAAATTTGTAATCATCGTGGACCAGGTACAGAAACCATCATCCAAATACTTTGATTAAGGTTTACATCTTATAAAATATTTTTCTGTCCAGATTTCCGTACGATTTAACAGTTATATATATATATATATATATATATATATATATATATATATATATATATATATATATATATATATATATATATATATATATATATATATATATATATATATGTGACAATGTCAGACCACGGAGGAAAAATGAAACAGGAAATTTCCTTAAGTACTTTCGTATATTAAATACATCTTCAGAAGGTCATTTTACAGATCGAGTGATGGGTATAAATAGGCAGGAGAGAGTGGTGAAGTAAGGTGAGGTACAATACTTGGACAACGCAGAAGGCCCATTGGCCCATCAGATGCACCCAATTGGCCCATCCGATGTAGCCCAATGGCCCATCTGATACAGCAGACATACAAGCATAATGCATAGGTAATTATAACATAAAGAGGTAAATATATACAATAAATTAGTGAGACAAATGTTTTTCAATGATTCTACTTAAATCGCCCTTTAGCTGATCTATTAGAAATGGATCTAAGTTATATAGACCACTGCTAATATTCAAATTACTTTCTTTGGTGATCTGTATCAAAGCGGATTCAATTATGTTTCTGTTATAGGTGCTTTTACAATTTGTTATTGAAGACGCACTCTCCCAATCAATTTGGTGAGCTTTTTCTGACAAATGCACAAACAAAGCATTAGATAATTGGCCATGTCTTACAGAGTATTTATGTTGCGATATTCTACATTTTAAATCTTTAGATGTTTGCCCGACATAGAACTTATTACATTCCTTACAAGGTATTTTATAAATGACGCAATTATCACTACGAGGGCTGTTCCTTACTAATAGCTTACCAACAGTGTTTTCGTAGCTAAACATTACATCTATATTAAAAAGTTTCAAGGCCTTGACAATATTCTCAAACCCAGAGAAATATGGTAAACATAACACATTCTTTGGGCGAGTCCTTTCACTGCATACATTATTATAATATGTACGACGAGCTTTGTTACGACAAACTTCCAAAAAATTCAGTGGGTAACAAAGCTTAAGACCAATCGAATCAATATTCTTAAATTCTTCATCTAAGAATTCTGGACTCACAACTCGAAGAGCTCTTAGATACATTGAAGAAAAAATTGACTTTTTTACATTGTATTTATGCCCTGAAAAATAATGAACATAAGATAAATTGTTCGTAGGTTTTCTGTAAACACTAAACTTTAATGAAGAGTTTTCCCTATGAATAAGCACATCTAAGAATGGCAAACATTTATCAATTTCAGTCTCCATAGTAAATTTTATGGAGGTGACTTGGTCATTAAGTTTGGCTACAAATTCGTCTGTGTTTACATCTGAAGGCCAAATACACAAGATATCATCAACATATCTAAACCAAGGAATGATTCCAGGAGTTATTTTTGAAACAAATTTATTTTCAAAGAATTCCATGTACAGGTTTGAGAGCAATGGCGATAGAGGATTCCCCATTGCCATTCCAAAAGTCTGTAAATAAAACTCATTATTAAAGGTAAATTTACATTCTTTAATGCAC